CACTGAAATGGTAAGCCCTGGATTATATCAAGTATTGGAATATAACAGAGCACCCTCCTAAAGTCCCCTGAATTGCCTCATTTCCTATAGTGACCACAGGGCGATTATCTAGATTGATAAGTGCCAGCTTTGTACATACAATTCTGGTTACAGTTCTCCCATTTCTAAAACTGCAACTTGGAAGAGGAAGCAAAGTGTTTGGTTATAGGCAGCTGGCAAGCAGGCTTGTGGAAGCTCTTCCTTTATTGTTTGGGGTTTTTTTAACTTTCCAAAGTCCTGGACTGATACCAGGCTGCTGGAGGGATGCTCCGAGCTTCAGATGGGTCCAGAGAAGGGAACATTCCCTGGATACTAAGGTATTTGCAGCTGTGAAGAAAGGCAACTGCTGATTTGCTGCCCAAGTACCAAGGATGTGAAATACTGGAAGGGGTTTGCACACTGGTGAGTCACTGGAACAACTGAGCACCAGAAACCAAGGACGAATCCTACACACAGTCATTGTTGCCCCATCCCTGGCAGTGTTCAAGGCCAGGTTGGAAGGGGCTTGGAGCAACCTGCTCTAGTGGAAGGTGTCCCTAGATGGAACAAGATAACCTCTAAGGCTCCTTCCAACCCAAACCAATCTATGATTCTGTAGCTCAACCCAGGTGGGAACATCTCCAACAACTCACCATGCTCAACACCAGCCAGGAGCTGCACACCAGCCAGGAGCTCAACAGCCTGCATGGGATTTACATTGGTACAGAGTGCTTGGTTGCTGTCTTGGCCACTTTGGGAAACATCCTGGTCATCTGGGTGGTGAGGATGAACTCGACGTCTCAGAACATGACTCTGCACTTCATTGTTTCCCTGGCGCTGGCTGATATCGCGATGGGGATCCTCGTCATGCCCCTGGCCATCGTGGTGAGCCTGGGCATCAGCGCCCACTTCTACACCTGCCTGGCCATGTGCTGCCTGATGGTGGCTTTCAGTAACGCATCCATCCTCTCCCTCCTGGCCATCGCCATCGACAGGTACTTGCGGGTGAAGCTACCAACCAGGTGAGTGCTGGACCACCACGGGCTCCTCCACTGATGCTCCTGCCAGCTTTCCAACCCCCAGCCTCTGCCCCAGGGCTGCCACCACCCCTCTCCTCCTTAACTTGTCACTTTTCTAACAAGTATTTACACTAAATGCCAAATATTTGCCCCAAAATGCCACATATTTGCCCTAGAAATGCGTGCTTGGGCATGAAGAAAAGACTTGTTCCTAAAAGCCCAACCTGAGTTGAACTTTCTAGAGCAGGAACCACTCCCTGCAGTTAATAATACAGCACAGACAGACCCTGGGGATGCTTGTACAGGGCTGAGAACTCGCTGTTAGTGCTAGTCTGAATTTGGCCACACAGGGTGAGTCTGTGGCTGAGCAGTTGAATTCTTCAGCTCTTTTGTTAATGCTGAGAGTACTGAAGATTTCACTGGGTTTCTGAGTCTTCTAAATAAAATCCCTTTCACTGTTTGCTGAAAATACAAAAGAAGCAACAGACTTAAGAGCTGATTTAAGAAGCCATTCACTTTGCATGTTGGAATGGAAAAGCACATGAGCTAAAAATCCAGAGCATAACATCAAGCATGAAAGTAGCAGCAATGGGGAAAGGACCTATAAAACTGAAAGATGAAAGAACAGTTTGGTCCTACAAATGGCATAAACCAAGTGTAAAGAGTAATGGACACCCAAGGAAGCTGAGAAATAAGACAGAACTGCTAATAATGGCAACATCGAGGCAAAAGGGGCACTAGGATCAGAATGAAACAAGAAATAGCTGAAATCATGCAATTATAAAGAGGAGAAGTTGAGCCCAGTTCTTCTTAAGGGTGCTGCAAAGCAACTGGAGAGTTAAGCTTGTCTCAGAATAAGATTTGGGTTAGTGCTCCAAATTTGTGACCATGAACCTGTAATATTTGAACATGCAAGTTCCTGAAACCATCCTTAACCATTTTAACTACTTCTGTTTAATGCAAACCTGGGTTTTCTTCCTCCACAGATATAAAAGAGTCACTACAGAGAGAAGAGTTTGGTGGGCACTGGGTTTCTGCTGGTTTCTGTCCCTGCTTGTAGGATTAGTCCCCATGTTTGGGTGGAACAAGGCAGCAGGAAGCACCTCGGAGTTTCTCAGGTGTCAGTTTATCTCTGTGATGAGGATGGATTACATGGTGTATCTTATCTTCTTCACATGGACCCTTGTCCCTCTGCTCATCATGTGCGCTCTGTACCTTGAAATCTTCTACATCATCCGGACGAAACTGAGTCAAGGTTCAACCAACACAAGAGGGACAGGAGGGTTTTATGGACGGGAGTTCAAGACAGCCAAATCTCTAGCACTTGTTCTCTTCCTGTTTGCAATATCCTGGTTGCCCCTGTGCATTATAAACTGTGTTTCTTATTTTTGCCCCACGTCTCAGATCCCCGAGGTTTTGATGTACTTGGGAATCCTCTTATCCCATGCCAACTCTGCCATGAACCCCATTGTCTATGCTTGCAAGATAAAGAAGTTCAAGAACACATACCTTTTAATTTTAAGGACCTATATCCTGTGCAAAAAACCCAGAGCCAGTTCTGGGCAAAAAAACACAGAGCAAACACCAGAAGAGCAGTCATAAATCAAGAAATGTTGACCTGCCTGTATATACCAGACCATTGACAACCACTTTGTGAAGGAACTGATGGGAAATGGGGGTTGTGTTTTGTCTACTCCCACTCTTGCACAAACTGCTTTATGATAAGGGCAAGCTCCTCTTACCCAATCTGATGCACATTTGACATTAAGCCCAAAGCAACCATTTATGGTCTTCTGCATTGGGTACTCCAGAGAATTCTGCTTGGTGGTTGCTGAGCTTCCAGGCAAGCATCTTCATTTAACAGGACCCTCCAGGTTTTATGTATTGACTTGACCATGATTTGGTAGACCCATGACCCAAAGAACTGGTAACAAGGAAGATGTTTTGCTCCGAGTGCCCCAGCTTGGATCTATCAGCAGCTGGTAAAACCCTGCTGCTGAGTCACACAGCTGAGCATCTCAAGAAGGCCAGATGCTGCACTGATTCTGGGGACCTCTGCTTTGCAGGACATCCTAACAGTGGGACACTTCCGTGGCTTCCAAGCAAGACAGTGCTCACCACAGACTCCTGCAAAACTAACTCAGACACAGAGCAGCAGGCAAGAGCCAAAGTGCTGAACACACCCAGCTGCTCCTTAGTGCTGGGGACATACCAGAAGGAGATGACTGTCAGAAAATAAACTAATAATATCTTTAAGTTCTTCCCTCCTCCCCCAGCTGCCTGACCAGGGATAGAATCAACAGTTCCAAACCCATCACATGTACATTGTCAGAACTGGTTACCAAACCCCATCTATTTGGGGGATTCTTCCTGCACAGCATATCCTGTGTTTCCTACAATCAATCCTGCTTTGCTAACACCTGATTTAAATGTGATTTGTGCTGCAAGACTCCTCTGTAAACCTGAAGAACAGTTACTCTTTGTAGCAGCCTGTTACAGATCTGATGACTAAAGATGAACGTAAAGATGTGTCCAGATATGTCTTTGTATTAGTTTCAAAATACAGAAAAGATACTGGACAGAAGTTTTGCCAGTGTTGTTTTGATTTTTGTTGCACAAGGATTAGTTTGGTCCACTGAAAAATAGGATAAGTATGTTCTTTGCTGTTGGTAATGCAGCCACTCACAACCCAGGCACGTCCTCACTGAGTATTCTTACACCCTTTGTCTTCTCTGTCAATTTAGACTAAATCTGAGCCTGAACAGCAAAACAAAGGACACACAAACCCTCCTCTATTCTGATTAGCAGATGCCAATGTCCCAAATTCCTCTATCCTTCCATAAAACAGAGTTGGCCGATGGCTACTGGTAAAAGCTGTGTATGACTGGACAAGGCTCTTGGCATGGGAAAGAGATAGCAGAAGGATGCTCTGAAGTGAATCTGGGACTCACTAGCAGCCACACAACAAACGGAGGTCTCTGTCACCCTCCATCTCCAAGGGCTCTAGGTAGGCACACAAAATTGCTGCACTGTGGTTGGTGCCATGTCACAAAGTACATGAGATGGTTGTGATGTGTCAGTACAATTCACGGTGAGGAAACATCTACATGAAAAACCCAACATGCTAACTGGTCTCAATAGGAAGTCACCTTTTCTTGCACTTCTAACAAGATCTAACAGTATCTAACACAGGAAAGCAGCATTCCTCTTGGTGTGGTGAAGACACATTAGTGCAAGCCTGGTAAATTTTCAGACCATCTTACTTCTCAGTTGCTCAGAGTCCTGCTCCTGGTCCTGTAGAATGGTCAGCACGCCTCTCAAGCCAGAGTTCAGAATGTGATGGTGCTTGTGAACCTGTGTTTCGATGGGCCCCTGCACTTCCACCAGCTTCTGCAGCCCCAAAGGCCGGCAGGGCAGAGGTGGAGCAGCTGCTCCAACTGCTTGTTGGAAACACACCAACCGAGTGATGAGGGAAATCCATCTGCCCATCATGGCTTCGTGCTGCCATCAGGTGGCCTCACTCATTTGAAGCTTCTCATATGTTGGACTTGCTGCTTCACAGGAGGCAGCAGGACCCAAGCACTTGTCCTGGCCAAAAAATTCCCCTTCAGAGGGGTTCACAATAGCCCTTCCAGAAAAGAGGAATAACTGCAAGAATCTGACACTCTGGTGACCAGAAACAAGGCAGCTTCTGAAGCTCACAGGGCTGAGGCAGCAGGAAGCTTCGCTCTGATTCAGCCTTGTAGGAGAAGCATTAAACAACTGATGGAGATCGTTGCACTTAAACAACAAACCTCCCACCTGCAGGCACAGGAACATGCAGAGAAGCTTCTCTGTGCCCCTGCTAAGAATGAGTCACTAGTGCCAACTTGTTCCCCAGTTTATGAAAGGGGAATTCTAACTTTCTACAGTCTATTTAGAACACTGGGTAATTAACATTTTCAGAAATGGACTGTCACACTGTGTGCATTTCTTTTTACATGACCCAACTGGGAAGCAGATATTTGCATACAAACATTTTGTTATCATAACTTCAGGAAGCAGAAAATAACTCACTTGGCAATTAAAAGCCAAGGAAAACATAGTCGGTGACAGAAAAGGGAAACACAAAGGCACAGACATGAATGGACACAGAGTAACATTTCCATTTCCATTGGTCATTCAAAGCAACAGCAAAGACATAAATGGGAACTTTACAAGTGCAGTGAGATTTCTAGAGATTGGGAAATAGGGTATAAAAAGCAATTTGTCCACAACCACCAAGAAGTTTGGAATAGGAGACATTAGTTTCCCCTGGTAACTATAAAATGAGCTGATGTTAGACATACAGCAGTGTCGGTATTTCCCAGCACACTACAGGCCTTGATATAATGTTCTGGCAGCATCTGATGTTCAGAAAGTGCAGGTGTCTTCGTTTCACTAGAAGCTCCATCATCACACAGCTGCTGGTGCCCCACTCTGCTGGAAGACCAGAGAGGCGTAGGCAACATCACTCTGGGGATGTGAAAGAAGCCACAGACATTAGAGAATGTGCAAGCACCTCGGTATGGATTTCCTGCTTTTAATTTGCCCTCAATGCGACACACCACCAGCAGTCAGTCTGTCCCTACCTATGCTGGATCAGACCAGTTAATCTAGCTCAGCATCCTGGGTCAGCTCTGCATTATGGGCTCCCAAAAAATCATTATCATGGAGGCAAACTGCAGAAATGCTTGCCTTTGAAAAAATTTCCCCCTGACCTGGTTGGTTGGACATGGCCCTGGGTGACATGGTCTAGTGTGAGGCATCCCTGCCCACGGCAGGGGGGGTTGGAACTGGATGATCTCAAAGTCCTTTCCAACTCAAGCTATTCTATGATTCTATGATCTGCCAAAGTAGTGATTTAGTTAAGCCCCAGATACCTGAAATATGTAGGGAGAACGGCATTTGAGCCCTGTGCTAACAGAGGAGTATCTTTCCTCTTACTGTCCAGGCACCTCCTCAAGGAACTCCCTGGACTACTCTAAACAGGCTGAACAGGATGCACAACAGAAAACACTTTTCCTTAGTCAAAAGAACTGTCAACTAACATTCGAGCCTTGCAAAAGCAAACCTCTTTTCTCTTCCCCCAGTTAATATTTATCTATCAAGAATCTGAAGTCTTTACATGTAACATTAGAAATAGTTGTGACCTTTACCTGGATGTTCTTAGCAGATTCCTCAGTCACTGCTGGGAGGGGAACTTGATCTTGTAAGGTCTGGTGGGATCTCTTACACTCTAGGGAGGAGAAGAAGGACACCAGCCTCAGCTGTCTGCACTGGTTGCAGACAGAGTGCAAGACAGGCTTAAAGAGTAGGGTGACAGAGCAGCTCCAGAGTGTGTGGCTCAGACACAGCTTATGAAACCCACCACAGACTCTCACTGCAAAGTGAAGTGTGGCAGCCTGAGCCCCTGCCTGCTGAAAGTGGGATAAAAGTGACTGATGGATGTGGTGAGAACACACTGCATGGCCAGTGCTAGGACCATAAAACCCAACCTAAAAACCCACACCCCCCAAACCCTACCACGACCAAAAACCCACAGCTCATCAGTGCAGAAGTTAATTCTTCCATGTAAAGAGCCCTTGGGATGATTCATGGGAGGTTACTGCCAGGAATGACAAGTTCACTACTACATTAGTTATTCAAGGGAGACATAATTTGAGCCTCTTTCAAAGTAACTTTCCTAGAAGTTACTTTGAAACCCTGATGCTGCAAGATGCAGCCCACAGTGTAGAAACTTCACACCATCTGTGTTGAGATGTGCAGCACAAGATATTAAGCGCTCCTCTGCCGTCAGGTCTGGATCATCATGCTATTTCCTCTGCTGTCACTTACTTTTTCTGAAGAGGTGGATGACTGCAAAAACCAGAACAGCCACCAGGACACCAGAGATAAAGGCTAGTGATATGTAGAGTGTTTCATGGCTGTTGATACACAGGAAATAGTGTCAGAATTCCCAGTTCATCAAACTGGAATGTAATGTATCATTTATCCCAGCCCCATGAGATTAAAAGATTCATATCTACATTAAGCATCACTATGAATTAAATATCTACTGCACAGACTGGAAATTCTGTGCAACCATTTAAAACCCCAAGACATGAGACACATTGCATGTAACTCCTCCTTTACAGAGCGAGTCTGCAGTCTCTGTGTTTGAAGACAGGAAATAAAAAGTGGAACATTTACTTATCAAGCCTGCATTTGACTTCTGAACCATTGAAGACAGCTGCAGAGGTGTATGCAGTGGTACGTACAGTAATAGTGGTGGCAGTGGGTTCTGGTGTAACTGGAAGTGAAAAGAACAATAATGAAAACCTGGTTTAAAAGTGTGTTAATTTCTCCAGTGATGCTACAAGCAACAAGAACTGCAGAGTACTCATCATTTCTGTAACATTTATCTATCAGAGGGCTGAAAGTGGAAACAGCAGACAGAAAAAATGAGTTATTTAGACTCTTACTGTCTCACAGAGGCCTTTGGCATCAATGCAGCTCTTCGCCAAACACATACACCTCCTGCTAAGCCACCCCCCCAGCAGCTCTTCTCAGTCAGGATGGTATTATCTTAGGCAAGGATACTGCATGTAAGAAAACTCCTCAAAGAAGGAAATACCTGCATTTACTTTTGAGGATCTCACTCCCATTCTCTCCAAACACTAAAGAACAGTAAGGGAAGCTAAAAGGAAGGGATAAAAGTTATATTTATATACATATACTAGAGCAAAACGAGCCTGTCACCCTCTTCTAACTCACACTTTAATAGTTTTTAATCAATTTTTCAGACATCTTCAACCGGCACAAACCCAGCAACTTCAGTGTGAATCCTCCTTCCCAACACCTTGTTCCCAAACACATGTGCATGGTCATTATACTCCAATGAACAGGCTGCTTTCTTTCAAAGATTGGAGTATATTTAATAACTAGAGCACCCACATTATTATTTCTGCAGCAGTTAGAAGTGAGTGAACTTTCAGAATGAGCAGCAGCTTTCAAAAAACCACAGACTTTCTCCAACAAGGAATGAACAGTAACTTTCTTCTTAAACTTGGGGGTGGAAATGTAAAGATAAGGAAGTATGAGTTGACTACAAAGTTCCTCGTCTAGGGCTAGTCACTACAAGCCTTACAAAGTACACTGTGAGAGTAGCACTGACAACGGCATAAAAGCAGGCATCCTATTCTCTGAATGCCTCTTGCTGCCCTCATTGCCTAAGAGTCAAACCATTACGACCCCTCAGTTTCCTACCCCAAGTCCAAAAGCATGTTGTTTCCCAGTAATAAAAGGCAGGCCAAGATGTGACACAACTCCATCTTACCTTGGACCATGGAGCAGCTGCCCACCTGCACGTTGAAGAGTCACAAGGTGTTGCCCCTGCAGGTAAACCACTTGCTTTGTGCGAAGAATCAGTCCAACTAGGGAAAGCTCAAGTGCCATTCACAGCTGGGGCTACACAAATGTGGAAGTGGAGCAACTTCACTTTTTTTTTGCATTTTAAAAACCTCAGGAAAGTGAAAAACATCTGCATTCTGAGGAAGTGTCCACGAAAAAGAAAGTCAGCTTCATTTTAAGTTCGATGCTTACCTCTCAAGAATACCTTTTTGCTGAAATGTTGCACTGAAAAGTTTAAAAAAACCTCCTATTTTACCAACTCCACTAAAAACAAGCACTTCCCCACTGCAGGACCAATTCGTGCAAGTGGCATAGTAAGCACACCCTAGTCTGCTTAAAGGTTATTTACTACAGAAATCACTTCCCAGCACACAAGGGCTGACACTGCACATAGATAAGTGCTCTCCTCATCTGGGATGTTTGAGATGTAACAAAATCCTTCTGGGAAAATATTTCCTATTAAAAAAACCTGAAAGGCTTAGGCTGTATAACACACACTAAACTATTCCCCGTGTTTCCTATGAATACCCAGGAAAAAAAACACACTCTAGAATAAACTTATCCACTTCACCATTTTCACTCTCATACTGGGGATTTCAGTTGAAGCAAAGTCTTCCTGTTGCTTTTGACACATTTCCTGCCAGCTACATCCTCTCTTCTACGGAACAGAAAGACACTGTTGTCACCATTTGAAGCCTTGTTACGGAAGTGGTTTGGGGGTTTTTCAGACCATTTTTAGAAGGATATTTGTTCAGGTACCACCAAGTATCAGCTCAGGTAAACGGGAGCATGGGTGCTCATCTGATTTTAGAACATGTTTACAATTTCAGTAGGTATCTACAGGTCATTATCACACCGAATTCTACAACAAAAACCGATCACTGTAGTAGAACCTGAATTTTTCACAGTGAAGTTCTGTGTCTGCTCTCTGGAAGTGGTCATGAACAAAAAAGGGAACCAAACCAAACTGCGCATACTGAATGAATAATCGCCCATGATGAACTAACTAGTGATATATGTGACCAATCCAGCTACTTCAAAAAGTTGCTACTGCTAGTAAAAGACAGCAGAGGATTTTGTTTGTTTGTTTAATGATACTTTAGAATTGTACAGTTTTCAACAGTAAGAGACATGTCAGTGGAATTGGATGCAGTTACACTGTTGCCTGGGCAGTCTTCGATAACGCCTTCAGGTCCAAAATGCACTTTGCAATACTCTCCTTCTGCTGCAAAGGAAAGGAAAACAGCTTTCAGGAGACAGACTTCATGAAAGACATTTAAACAAGTAAAATATTCTTCTGAATGCACTTTAAATACTCCTTTTTAGAAGCACAAAATGGGTTACTGATCAGCAGGGATATGCAGTTGTAACTCCTGAAGTCAGATTCAAATCCAGTCAGTGACCTGCATTAAAACATCTGCAGGCCGTGCTAGGAACATGTTTTCTGTCTTTTGTTCTCTGCTTCATTCCTTAGAAGAAAGCTCATCTAGAGCCCATCTGCAGATCTTAAGCTGCCATAGTCTTATACAGAGAATATGCCATGCAAGTTCCCCATTAGCTATACAACTTATCACAAGCCTAGCTCTGTGCTGTAACAATACCACACACCACCTTAAATCACCAGCAACACAAGCCCCTGATACCAAGTAACTGAGCTTTGCAGCTCATACTCAGCAGCAGGAGTGTGTTGCAGCCTTGTCTGGAAGTCACCCAAAGATCACCCATCATCTTCTGGCTTAGGCCAAAATCACAGGACAGCAAATATTCGTACAGACTAAAATGTAAAGCAGACTAAGACCAAGCAAGTACCTGCTGAGGTGTGATGCTCTGAACAACGCTTTTCTCCACCCACTGAATCATGTGATCTTGTTCTTTCTGACGCTTTAAATTCTGCATAGCCACTTGATAGTCCAGCCTTTTCTTTACTTCGTTGTACACTGTCAGTAACCTCTCTCGATAATTAGCTTCCAGCAACATTGCAATATTATTCTAGACAAAGATGATGAAATCAAAGGGTTAATGTTTGGCAAGAACACAAAACAGCAGAACACATTCTATAGCAAAAGCTGCTGGATCTGGCAGTGGAATGGGCCCTGTCTGCAACACACCAAGGGCAAACGGTTCACTACTTGGTAGTGAATTAAGAGGCACCCAGATTATGCAGCAGAGAATGCAGAGGAAGTCAGCAATAGGGATGGAGCTGCGTACCCGCTTAGCGTCGAAGAGGTAACTGCGGCCTTCAACACGCCACTGCTCCTTCTTCTCCTGTTCAATGGCAGCCTCGAGACCTTCAATAGATTCATTTTTCACAGCTTGAGCTTTAGCAAGTTTCTCCTGAAAAGAACAAACAAAAGCCATGCCTCAGGAAGAAAGTAAGCTGCAAGAAAACAACTGATCTGTAATTCATTAAGATTTGAGAAATGTCTGAATAATTGTGCCAGGGTTGAGGTTAAAGGATGGCAAGTTGGCCAAACTAGAGTTCACAATCAAGTCACTCCTGCTGGCATGAGGTGTTTCATTTCTGAAGTAACACCACCAACGTAAGATCTAAACCATACCTTATTTAAGCAACATTACTCAGATATTTACAACAGCCTGGACACAGTACTCTTCCAAATCTTCAAGGAGATAACCTAGAATAGTTAGTAACTACTACAGTTAGATTATGGTTTGGTTTGTTACCTCATTAAGTTTGTCAGCAAAAGCTGCTACATCAGACCCATATTTCTTTATACCATAAATGATGACTGATAATATGCAGGCAGCTGCAACTGTCTCATGGTTCACTACATAGATTTCCTTCGAAAGAAAGTACAGTATGAGTCCAGTTCCAAACATGTAAGGCCCTGAAGAAAGAAATAAAGCAGCATCATTTGTACAAAGCATAAAGAGGCTCATTGCAGAGGTAGCTACTTACTAGAAGATCATGAAGTACTCTCTTTTACCATCAGGAAAAGCAGAAACACAATACCACCAACAGTGGTACAGGGACACCCGCCAAAGGTGGAAGCAACTTGCAGAATGACTTCTGCTCATTCAAAAAGAGGCAAAAAACTCCATATAAAGGTTTTGAGGATCAGCAGGCAAAGCAATCTTCCTGCAAGATCAAGCTCATGACATTCCTTTAGCTTTTAATTAAAGCTTTAAATTAAATTAGCTTTTAATTAAAGCTAAAGGAGCATCAGAGCCAGGAAGTTCCGTACTGTCTTATTCCTCCCAACCTCCTTCTGCTTATGTTTTTACCTTTTCAACAGGCAGTAGTAGTGAACAGAACTAAATGAGCCTAATTAAACACACCATTTATAATAAAGTACACATTCACCTGTAACTCCTGTTTTAGGATACAGGAACTGGAAAAACTCCTCAGGGATCAAACCATGGCGCACTTCTCCTCCTTTCTCAGGCAGAGGTGGCAAAGGAGCCAAGTGCTGTTTACTTGTATGCAGTGGTCTTGTGGCATGCAATACACTGTAAGTAATTAAGAAGTTTCTATTAAGCATCTTACTTTATAAAACAAACAAAACGAAAGCTCAAAGGAGGTTATTCTACCCTCTACTCTGCTCTTGTGAGACCCCACCTGCAGTACTGCGTACAGCTCCAGTGTCCCTAACATAAGGGCATGGAACTGTTGGAGCAAGTCCAGGGAAAGGTCCACAGGGATGATCAGGGGCTGGAGCACCTCCCATAGCTGAGAACATTGGGGCTGTTCAGCCTGGAGAAGAGAAGCTGTGCGGAGACCTCAGAGCAGCTTCCAGTGTCTGAAGGCGGCTACAAGGATGCTGGAGAGGGGCTCTTCATTAGGGACTGGAGTGATAGAACATGGGGTGATGGGTTTAGGTTTAAACGGGAGATTCAGGTTGGGTATAAAGAAGCAGATCTTCCCCGTGAAGGTGCTGAGGCGCTGGCACTGGGTGCCCAGAGAAAGCCGTGGCTGCTCCATCCCTGGCAGTGTTCAAGGCCAGGTTGGAAAGGGCTTAGAGGAGTAAGCTGCTCTAGTGGAAGGTGTCCCTGCCCGTGGCAAGGGTTGGAACTGGATGATATTAGGGTCTTTTCTAACCCAATTCTATGATTCTATGAAAACCACTACCCTTAGGTGCGGGTCAAACACATCTCCTATCAAACAGGGAAAGCATCCACCAGACACGCCTCCTTTGAGGAAGTGGGTGGGACTACATAACCTCCAGAGGATCCTTCCCACCGTTAACAAGTTATTATTAGAAAAATAAAGTGAAAGCCCCAAACTAACGGTATTTAAATCCAACGAGCGGCGCCTTCCGAGGCGCTCCCCGTCCTCCCCAGGCTGCCAACGCCTCAAGGGGCCGGCAGCGAAGCCGGGCCGCGCAGCGCACCGGAAGCGCCGTTAGGCCTCGCTCGGAGGTCAAAGCCCTCAGCGCGGCCCCGCTGCAGCCCCCAGCCCCCGGTACTCACCCCACGGTGACGGGAGGCGGCAGGCTCCTCAGCGCGGCCGGGGCTGAGGGGGGGAAGAAGGGCAGAGAAGCGGGTCAGGAGAAAGCTCATGCAGGATGCTCCCCCTCAGCCCAGCCCATCCCGCCGCCCTACACCCCATAGGGACAGCGCTCCCGCCCGGCTCACCGGCGCGGAGGACGAGGCGGGACAGCATAGCGACCGGCACCGGGCACACAACCCCTCCAACCCGCTTCGTCCCCAGCCGGTGACCGCCGGCCGCCTCAGCGACAAGATGGCGGCGGCAAACGCCTCGCGAGACTGAGCGGGGTGGGGGGAACGAGCTCTCGCGAGAGGAGGAGGCGGCGCGCGCGCGGAGCGGGAGCACGTGGGGGCGCCGCTCGGCTCCGATCCCGATCCCGGTCCCGATCCCGATCCCGGCCCCGATCCCGGCCCCGATCCCGATCCCGGTCCCGGTCCCGATCCCGATCCCGGTCCCCGTCCCGATCCCGGCCCCGATCCCGGTCCCGATCCCGCCATGGAGGAGCCGCCGCCCGAGCAGCCCCCGGCTGCTGAGCAGGAGGCTGCGGAGGCTGCGGCCGGCCCCGAGTGGAACATCCCTCCCAACGCGCCCGCCTGCATGGAGCGGCACCTGGAGGGCGCGCACTACCGCGCAGGTAGCGGGGCCGCGGCCCGGGGATGGGCAGCGGGGTCGGGGCGGGGGGGACCCCTGGGTCCCCCTCGGAGCGGCGGCGGGCGCTGAGCGGGTCGTTGCCCTCGTCCTTCCCCGCTTCCTTTGCCTCTCTCCCAGACGGGGCCCTGTTGCTGGGCGCCTCGGGACTGAACGGGCGCTGCTGGGCCGGTTCCCTCTGGGTGTTCGCCGACCCGCGCCGTGCCCCCAGCGAGGGTTTCTGCACCGCCGGCGTCCAGACCGAAGCGGGTGTCGCCGACCTGTGCTGGGTGGCTGACAGGGGCATCCTGGTGGCCTCCGACTCCGGTAAGCACCCGGGATCCCGGTGGTACCCCCCTCCCCCCTTGCCCTCCATCCTAAGGTGGTTCCCTTCTCGCTGAGGTGGGTCCCTCCCCATAGGCGCCGTGGAGCTCTGGGAGCTGGATGAGAAGGAAACCCTCATCGTCAACAAGTTCTGTAAATACGAGCACGATGACATCGTGATGACGGTGGCCGTCCTGGCCGGCAGCACCCACGTTGTCAGCGGTGGCAGGGACTTCTGGTGAGTGTCCCCAGCCCGCCTGCCCTGCGCCAGGGGCCGGGCGCTGGGTGCTGAGCACTTGCTCTTGTCCACAGCGTGAAGGTCTGGGACCTCCCGCAGCAGACGGTGCTGCACTCCTACAGAGGTGAGTGCCACCAGCGTGCTGGTTGCTGCAGGCTGAGCTTCTTCCTGCCTGTCTCGCTTGGGGCTTGTGATCTAATGCTTGCCAGTCTGAGAAGTCTCTGGCACAGATTTGTTTCTTTGTCTCTTGTTCCTTTTCCCCATGGGGTGAATGCTGTGAGGCTTAGTTTGCCTTGCAGCTCTAAGTGTAGAGTGTTTCTTCTGTACTGAAATCTTGCTTGTGCTGGTGTGTGATCTCCTAACCTGTGTTTGGGGTTGAAAGCCCGTTCCAGATGCTGATCTCTGGAGAGAGATCAGATCAGGATTGTGCTGTCTGCTGACAGCAGAGACTGAGCTTTGATTGATCCTCTCCCCACTTTGTAACTGACCTCTTGTCTGAGGGGGCTTCCTCAAGCTTATGCAGTTTACAGGGACTTTGCAGCAGCTCGGGTTGGATTTGGCAGTTCATCAGTTTGGTGGGAAGACTCGGCTATTGCTGAGCAGAAGTTACCCTGTGTTTAGGCATAAGCTGGTCTTTATCACGGTGCTGTGCTTTCAGAGGTCCTTGGGAGTGTGTGGGAAGGCTGGGTACAATCTTTGAGGCTCTTTATTCTTTGTGATTTTGGTAGCTCACTCCGATGCGGTGACATGTGTGGCTTCCTGTCCTGGTAAGGACACCATGTTCCTGTCCTGTGCGGAGGTAAAGCTCACTCTCTGTCTAAATCTACCTGATAAAAGTAAGATTTAACTTTAGTTGCAGTTAAATGCACTTCCCAAGAAACCACCTATTGTGTCACAAACTGCATACCTGTGTTATTTTAGTGTCCTAGTCAATGAGCTGACAATCAGCTCACCAGGCTGATTTCTACAGGTTTGTATTAAAATGTGGGAGCTCCTGGGGATCACTGGAGGAGCTAGCTTGAAGTTAATGGCAGCATCCTTTTGGAAGCGGTGGTGTGGTTTGGAATGCGGCTCAGTAGCAGTTCTGCAGTGAATCTGAGTTTATGTCTAGCCCCTGCCACAAAGGGATTGTAAAATCTTTCTCATTCACTTTGGATTTATAGGACAACAGAACTTTACTCTGGGACACCAGATGCCCCAAACCAGCTACTCGAATTGGTATGTTTCTGCCTGCCGTCACTGCTTTGTGTATGAGTTTTTGTTAGAGGAAATAAGTCATTTTGTGCCTGACTTCAAACCTAGCAATGTGGTGTTTGCCTGGAAAAGCCTATTAAAACCTAAAGACATCTAGCACCATGCAAGTGCAGCAAGCTTTAAAGTCTTTGTTTCAGTGCAGTAGCAGTGCTAAACGAGGTAGTGTAGGAGTATCTTTGTGCTGCCTCTGTTCACACACATCCCAATTTATTTACTCGCAGTTTGCAGTGCCTGTAATCACCTCCCTACCTCAGTCATGTGGCATCCACACAAAAGTGACATCTTTGCTCTGGGTAAGAAGTGATCTCCTTACTTGCCTTGTAGCACACAAATCAAAGTCTTTCTTTTCACGTGACGATTTTGCTAATAACTTTGTTCTCTTTTCCTCTCTTGAAGGTGATGAAAATGGAACAGTTGCACTCGTAGACACAAAGAACCCTGATTCTGCCCTCAGCTCCTCTGTGCATGCCCGGAATATCACGGGGTTTGCGTTTTCTACACATAGGTACAGTCTGATCTACTGGCATAGGATGTGTGACTGCATACACTTGGGAGCCTTATTTGTTTTGAAACCTATTTTAAAACCACCAGGTTTTGTCTTTGAGAAATCAATAGAGAAGAGCAAAGTAAGCCAAACAGTGTTCTTGCCTTTTGAAAAGAGATGTGTCAACATACATGAGAACACTCCTGCAGCAGTCAGAATTACTGACCCACTCCCTATGGGGATCTTTCTAATTACAGTCACCATTGCTTGAGGGATTACTTGCTTTCTGACGCTAATATTCTTGCTTAGTGTGCTGCCAGCTTGCCATATGATGATGAAAACGTTCTGTAAGATTTAGCACCATAACAAGCGTGCTTGTCACAAGTCTGTCCCTAAGAAGCTTTCCTGTATTTGCTTGTTCTAACAGTGGTCTCATCTCTCTCCTCTAGTTCACCCTTACTGGCTTCAATCAGTGAAGACTGTTCAGTAGCTGTTCTTGATTCAGACCTCTCAGAGGTGTAAGTACTAGGCAGAATGTATTCATTACCGTGGCTGTTTGCCTTGTTAACTTCTCCTTAAGTTAATTATTTACCCATATGCTGGGTGGAAGATGAAGATGCTCCTCAAACAGGCGAGCATCATCCCACCAAACTCGCAGTTAAGCATTGCACAAGCCCCTAACCCTCTTAGTGACCATGCTTTATGGCTGATGGAGTGTTCATGTTTTGCAGGTTCAGAAGCCGTTCTCATCAAGACTTTGTGAAAGGCTTATCATGGTCTCCTTCAGACAATGCCTTGCTCACTACAGTTGGATGGGATCATCAGGTTTTACATCACACTGTCCCCATACCGACTGCTGAAGCTTCTGGAGTCAACTGTGTAAAGGAATAGTTTTATAAACTCATGGTCCAAATTCCTTCCTGGCACTACTTTGATTCTGCTGAAGTCAAGGGGGTGTGAACTGGAGTTCACGGTAGAGGCTGTTGTCTGCCTTGAAGCTTGTGACTAAGGAGGTTCCTGTAGTAATTTTGAGTTAGGCATAAGTTAGTTACAAGCCAAGCTTTACCCTCTCCCTGGGAGCTCACTTCACCTGTGATAAGACTTCAGTATTTTATCCAGAGAAAAATTGACTTCAGGCACAGAGGAGACTTGGGAAGACAGAGAATTGTGTATAATTAAAAATGAAGGCTCTCAATTCCTCCCTCAGTTCTCCAAACCATCCATGGAGTTTATAGAAACATTGGGGTGGGAAGATTAAAAACAACAAGGGCAAGAGCCTCATCCTTGAGCAAAGTTCTTTGCTGTGTAAATCAAGTTTTCCAATTAAATGGGAAGATGTGTTGGCATTGAAAGACACTTGTCCTTAACGCAGCGTGTGTTTTAGAGGTTGGTCATCAATATCTGCTAGTGTGGATCCTGTGGTGAGCACTGTTTAAATGCAGGTATTGGAATACCAGTGCTTGGTGTGAGGAGCTGTGTATGATCAGGATCCCAGCTGTAGCCCTGTAGTTACACACCTCTGTGACAGTGCATGACAGGCTGAAATACTGGGACCTGTGATCAGCGTTGGCGGAGCAGCTCAAAGGGCCATTACTGTAGCATGCTGAAAGCCAAGAGAAGTTAGTTGCTAAGGCTGTTTGACACCATGTTTCATCTCCTCTGTGCTGAAGACAGCTTCCTCAGAGATAAGACCTGTGAGCAAAAGTTAATTTAAGGGAAAAACTGGATTAATGACTTCAGTTTTCATTTGCTTGCTCCTATAAACAGGCTCTGCTTAGTGATAAAGGGTAACTCCTTACACACTTGTGACTCCTTGTGCCGGTGGCATTCCGTAATCACCGAAGCAGACTCCACAGAATCCTTAGAGGTGTTTCTTGTGGTATGACACATACTTCTCAAACAAACTCAACTGTTGCCCTGGAACGTATTTAACTGAAAACCAGATCATTGCTCTGCATGCTTTGCCACTGCTCGAGATACAGCTTGGTCTGGCTGAGTATTTCCTAGACAGAATAAAGCAGGTCCTGACTAATGAAACAAGAAATCCCATTGGAATGAATGCTACTCCTGTTTCTTTAGCACAATAGCAACACTAACACACCATTTCCACTGGGCTTAACCCTGCATAAACACAGGCTTAACTTTGAGGCAGACTAAGCTTTCCCAGGCTCCATACTTTCTCTTTTTAACCACATTTGCTGCTTTAATTCCCACATCGTGCAGGTGCTGACAGAGCAAAACTTCCTGATCTAGAACAGTGGATGGGAAAGGTAAAAAAGCTTTGCTAAAAACTGACAAGTTTTCTCCAAAGTCCAACCAAAACCATTACCTGTTATGGACCTCCAGTGGTGTGCTGAGAACTGCAACAGGTCTTGTGCTGCTTGTGAAAACATTGTCTGGGGGGGGGGGGAATGGAAGACGGTTTTCAACTCAATCGTTTTCATTTGTAAGTGGGTATAAGCTTCTCCAGGCCACTTCTGTAGTAAAGAACCAGCCGAGATCATGCACACAGTTAAAAGTTGTGATTCCGATTGCCGAGATTAAAAGTGTTCTTAAATAAACGTACACCGTATCACTGTTTGATGCCAGGGTACTATGATTCTTCAGCACTAGGGCAAGGCAGGCTGGAAGCCCTGCTTGTTTGCAGGAAGCTTCTCTTTCCAAAACTTGGAGCAGGTTTTCCATTGAGAAGTTAAAACTGTCAAGTATTAAACCATGGTAAGTTCCTCCCATCACCACCCGGTGAGCAAAACACATAATGGACAGTGAAGCCTATATGGACAACAGGGCATTATTGATATATTATTCCTGCTTTTGCAATGGCTTAAAGACTTCTAGCAGCACAACAAAATAGAAATGCTTCAGCATCTTGTCATATCTTTGGGTGAAGCTTTATGTTCTGCCACAGGAGGGCAGCAGCTGCCAGCTTGAACGGCACAGCAGCTTCCCCCCTAATTGGAGTATCTATTTCTTGAGCTTTACCACTTACATTTGGGGTTTTTTTTGCCATCATAAGAAGCACAGAGGGATGACAGCGTATCTAGGAGTCCCTCGTGTTGCGTTGCCTTGGCTCCTAGCTGCCCTGGTGCTAGCAAGGCTGCATTGAACAGTTGCACCCGCATGCAGGCGCAGCCACCAGCGGTCCCACAGCAGTACCTGTTGACTTGGTGGCTATGGAATGGAGCAAATCCCATGGGGTTTGTGGTATTCTCGCCCTGTGCCTGCACTCCACACGGTTCAGGTTGGGGGACACTTGTGTAAATACACTGTGGCTAGAGTGAAAGCTTCAAACATTGCACGCTCCCCTCAAGAAGAGCCTGGTTCTGTAGCCAGAGCTGGATGAAGGAGCATGCAAATAGCTGTAATTCGGAGGAATAAGCCACCGAAGACAAACCTGCCTTTTATGTTGCTGCTCGCATTGCTCACACCACGTTTTCAATTGGAAGTGCAACATTCAAGTTAGGACTTGCAAATAAGCATGCCAGTTCCATTCCTGATGAAAAGCCCCAACCCAAGGACTATTTATAGAAGCAGCACAGGCTGAACTGCACAAGCTCCTCCGCCAGCCTGCCTAACCAGCTGGATGCGAGGGGTGGTTGCAGGGATGGGGCACTCAGGGCTTGGTGCCCATTCACTCCTTCACTTCTTAAAAACACTTCAAATTGCCACAGGGTTTATAGCAGGTGAGGAGAAATTGGACCCAGCCCTATATAGCTGAAACTCAGACTGTTGCTGAGGCCGGTTTGAGCTGCATTTCCCTGTCCTTTTAATCTTCCATGCAAAAGATGACAGTCTTACAGCAGACGGACCACTTAAGCAATGCTAAAAGAAGCCAGACCACACATCATAAAAGAATACGTCCAGACATATTTAATGCAATAAAGTTGGTGTTCAATGGCACTCATAAATAAGAGACTTTGTTCAACACTTTACAAGTAAAGCTCTCAGTTATACTACATTAGCAGGTACCTTTGAGGAAGAAACAGCTGCAGGGGGTAATTTAAGTTGCATCAAGGCTTGAATGACCAAACTGCATCAGAGAGGGTTGAAGTGAGAATCATCCCATTGTCAGGCTTCAAACTGGGCTATAAGGATGGTTGCTGGGCTCCATCACTATTCCCCTTAGTTTCTTCCTCTTCTATTGCTAAATTCATATAGTGAAACAGAGCTGAGGAGGAGCAGCAACAGGAATCAGGGCACATCTATGTGCTGTCCTGACACAGTTACCTGACAGAGGAAGAAGGGGGCTCTTCCCATCCCTGCAGCTGAGAGGCCCTTGCTTCACCCGTAAGTGCTCCGGCTGCCAACAGCTCTGACAGTGGTTTCTTTGTACCCCAAACAGCTCCCATTGGCCCCAGCATAAACGTGGTTGTTGCTGAAATCTGAGGCTTGTGCTTAATGCATTCAAAAGGAGCAGGGAGAGCCCAAAGTGTTTAAAGAATAGAAGGGTTCCACTGCTTAAAACATGCATGCTAACCAGTTTTACAACTGCGAGCATGTCCTACCTGATTTACTTACAGCTTAAGTCCACTGTGCATTCCCAGCAGGGGAATGAGTGACGGCTGTTTCATAGAGCTGACATTATCATGCTTCTAATATTAAATATGAACACATACACAGCTAGAAACAAGACACTCCACGCTGTATAACACCATCTTACAAGTACCTAGGAATTGCATGTCTAGGTGAAACAGTAAATGTGAAACTCAAAGCAAGTGCTACCAGTGGAGTTCCACGTTTTGCCCTCAGAAGAAAACACTCTCGTGTTGGGGATACACTATAATTTAGGAGAGTTCTTGGGGGAAAAAAAATCGCTCATACAGCCATCCCCCATTTCAGGGCAAAGTCAATGTTGAAGGCTGATGTCTCCCAGCAAACCTTTACATTTAAAACTGCTTTTGAGAACTCATTTGCAGTTATAACTTCGTATTTTGGGAAAACGATATCAGGAAGGGGGAAACAATCAGCTTGCAACATTATCAGGAAGGCTTCTTCGGTTTGGTTCAAGTTCAACTTCATCCAACACTAAACCATGACCCCAAAGCCACCCAAAGAGGGTCATGGCTTCACTTCCGCAGTAAGAATCCTCCAGATACTCCTCCCATGGAGAAGCTTCAGTGTTTTAAGAGGGAGGGCTACTCTGCATGGCACTGGCACACCTAAATACCCAGCGTGTTACTCCATAGATGCTTTGCTCCATAAACATTTGCTAAAGACCAACACCCAGATGTTTAAAACGTGTTCTTTCAATACCAGCTGCAGTGAGCACGTCTGGAAACCTTCCAAGTCTCTGCCATTCACCGGCATAGAAATGCCATTTGAATTAGCTGTTAGACCCATTGTGGTAGTTGCATTCTCATTTTATTCACAGCAAAGGCAAGTTCAGAATACTCGGCGGCTGCTGCAATGCTCGAAACAGCCGATCAATTGTTAGGTGAAGTTGGAAAGAACATGAACCAGAGAACATCAACGACGTGGCACTGCTATCGGGATAACTCTTGCGGTAACTCCACCCCGAGGGAAAACGCATCACTGAGTTTTGGAGTTGAATCGGAGAGCAAAATCTGCTTCCAGGCCCACAGACACAGGAGTGTGCAACGCAGGCTTCGCCGGAGTGGTACTAATGGTATTGATAGGATTGAAAGGAGAAAGTGCTTTCCATAAAGGTAGACTCATGTCTCAAAGTGCTTTTAGTCTGTCAGTGGTTAGAAAACATTCTCTACAAGTTTTTTACACTTATCTTACAATGATTCTCAGCACGTTTACTTAGAAGGAAGCTCCTAGGTTTCTGGTTTTGGGAAGTTGGGATTGAACACTTTGGTCTCTTAAGAGGCTGCATTTCTCGCTCTGTAGTGTTTTATACTCTTCAAGGCTACTCATATCTCTCACCCCACGACTTAACCATCACTGGAGGCA